TGGATTGGATTTTTAATTAATATGAAAATTTGCACTTTTAATTTTCTGTTTGAACAAAGGCTCCACGTCCGACGTATTGATTCTAACACTCCCATTGTTTATTTCTAAATTACCACCCGCAGGCCAGGAAACCCACCCCACACTACAGATTCCCAGCGACAATGCCTTTCAATTCAACATTCACATCAATCTATAGAAAAATGTTGAACATAAAATATATATATATATATGCAGATATGCCATATGCAAAATGGAATGCAATTGTAATATCCCAACCAACAACAACAACAACAACAAGAAGAAGGGAAAAAAAAAGAAGAAAGTAAAAACTGGATATGGAAAAGTGCGCGCGCGCTCTCTCATCACTTTCCACGCCCTTATTTTACGATTGAAAATGCAGCCGGAGGGCAGGTGAGATAACACGCGGGGTGGTTTTTGGGATCCCCCTTTTTTAGATAGATACGAAGCAATTTATTAGGGGGAAGACGATCCTGGAGCCATTGTCACTGCTGCGGTTATCCGTTTCGGTTAACATTATAATATAATGGAACCAGTTGTGGTTGGTCCTCCTTATTCATTTCTATTAAAATGGCCGAAAAGTCGTTACACGTTACACATCCGCATTACACATATGCCATTTTTCAAATAAAAATGTTTACAACTTTAACTTTTAGTTGACAACATTAATTTATATATTTTTTAATCAATTTATAGCTGAGAATTTATATTAAACAATATTAAGTAGATTCAGAAGTATTACAGTATTCTTCGACTTATATAACATTTACATATTACTAACATTCACCTGATAACAACAACTTTATAAAGTTAATAAACAGAATAAGAAGTTTACAATATAATTACATATATATCCGAGCAGAAAGGTCTTAATTAAATTTAACATAAATAAAGTTGAAATGTATTAAAATCGAAAAATATTACAATTTTTATAAGACATAAAATCCCATTCTCACTTTCAAATAATCCTATTTTTATCAATAATAGAATTTTCTATTATATATTTATTGTAAGTTTCCAAAACAGAATTACATATACTAATTTCAATCTTACTTAAGAAAAAAATCATATAACATTTTCTATTATTATATGTTTTATTATAATATAAAAAATGGTGGTCAATTAATTTAAGTGATAATTTACAATTTCAACTTGAAAACCATAATGTTTCAATAATTGACCACAATATTTCAGTTAAAATATCCACACGTAAAAAAAGTAATCTATACACTTTAGTAATGTAAGCAACACACATTTTCAAATTAAATAGGTCCTTGCAAATTTCTGATTTAGGTGCTTACATTATAGTAAATTTAAGGAATAATTTACAATTACAACTTGATAATTGAAAAGAAAATAATGCTTCAATATTTCAGTTAAGTTGGTAGATTACTCTTCTTTACGTGTGGAGATTACACGTAAAGAAAAGTAATCTGCCAACTTTAGTAATAGAAGCAACAAATGCATAGATTAAGTAACGTTATGCAATGAGAACAACATCATTTAATTTTACATTAAAATAATGACAAGAATTAAGTAAAGTTTAAAACAGTTAAAGTTTTACAGAACATTATTACAAGAAAGAAATAGTTATTTATTTAAATCGTTATTAGATGATATTTAAATATTAAAACTTCAAAGAATTTTAACATTCACGTAGGGAAAATAACATCTTATAAATTATAATCAATCAATAGGTTTTGAAAATGACGATGAAGAAGATTTTAGATATTTATTGAATGATTTATAAGATTTATAAAATATTGTTAGCAACGAAGACGAAATTGAAAAAATGTCCTTGTTGAAAACGTTGCTTTTAAATTATAATTATAACGTATATTTTACTGACAATAATTGATACAAAGGTATAAAATTACTGAACAGTAATCAATGTAATTACAGATATTTTCAATAGTTTAAGTGAAAAGAATGGGAAAGCAGAGAAAGAGAAAATGGCAAATTGGTTATTTACGGGATTATTCGTTTTCTCATCATCTCGAGTCCATTATGTACGTCGAATAAACGCATGCGAAAAAGAGAAGGCCCATTCCATTCCTCCTCCTTATTTTTAATTCAAAAGAAAATCAAGACGTCTGTACAACTGGAGAACTCATTAATTTCCCCGGCTTTCAATACTCCGAGCATTGTCCACGGAATTATCCGACCAGAAATTTCAACACAAACGCAACCACTGTCATAACAAGCGAAACAAAAACTCTCGCACACACACACACAAGCCGTCTATATATATATATACAAATATACATATATATAGATATGAAAATGAGTACATGAGTACGTGCAAATACAACAAGAACGTACGACTACTAAAAATGGAAATATTAGCAGCATGTCAATCAATTGTGATTCGGGTGTTTAACAAAAGTTTTGTTTCTGATTAATTTTGTGAATGAGTCAAGTGTAAAGTGCGCTTAATGTGAGCTCCGAAATAACGCGAGAGCGTCAAGAGCACGTCAGCGCGCTAATTGCCCCCGACGCAATTTTACTCTACGTAGAATCCATTTTGCAGAAGGGGGCTGCCGTCATTCGCCCCCTTTTGCACACACACACATACACACACACAAACTAAACCACCCCTCCGGTTACCCCGAGGCCCCCAGTGTGCAAATATTGTGTTGTTCCGTGCGGGGAGTTTATTGCAGACATTTGTTTCGATCGACGTTTATACACTTACTTAATGCTCGAGGACTCTTCACAATATGTCCGAACGCGTTCTCTTCAATCCAGATTCCTAACGTAATTATTCAATGAGAAAAAAATCACTTTTCTATTTGAATTTAATATTTACAGTTTTACAATTTCACGTTGATAAATTTCATTGAAAATATAATATAATTTCTTGATTATTAGAACTTATAAATAGAAACCAAACGTAATCTTCGTGAATAGACATTATAAAACAAAAAAAAATGAAATTCGCTGCGCAGAAATAAATGTATTGTTCAAAGTAATCTGTAATGTATCTGTAATTACTACTGAAAAATCACTACAAATATACATTCATTAAATTTTAAAATGTTACAACAATGACGCTTTTTGTGTTTATGCTTTTCATTATATTCAAACAGTTCTTAATGTATTGGATTTTCATTGATTTAATCATTTACTGAATTGTAATTATCTAATATAGATTTTGTACACATTAAAAAAAACATTTCAAAATCATTTGTGAACATTTTGTATTTATGGAGACTCCTAGCACAGAGACGTTGCGTGGGTAGTATAAGGAATATCAGATATAAATATTGTTTTTTAGCAAAAACTCTAATTTCTTAATAAAATTTGACTTTCTAACAGTCTAATTAAATTGTATTTAATTTGAAAAATGTTATAGAATTAGTACTATTTCTTTTATAAATCTTCAATAATTATATTATTTAAATTTCATTGAGAAAATTCCCTATATCATCAACTGCAATAAAATCCCATCATTGGAAATTACGTAAATATTCACGAAAATGTATTGTTTTAATTTAAATAAGGTTGAAATAATTGTGTACTATTTTATTCTTTTTAATAAATTAATTACTTAAAATAATTCGGAGACTTATTTATAATAAAAAAAAACTATTCATAGTTGCCATACAAAATAAAAGCAACCTTTTGTTGAGAATACAGACATAAAAAAAAATAGGAGATGAAAATCCTGATTATCCTTTATCCGCAAATGGCCTTTTAATACGCTCCCCCATTGCATCAACCGATAGACTATTCCCTGTAAGCATAATCAGCCTTGAAGTTTAGATGATTGTAGCTAGGGTTGAAGTGCCGTAACCATAAAATTTGCAAACTATAAGCTTATTACTTTTCTTGAAAGCCATTTTAGTAATTAACAGATTCCATCGATTTTCCATTAGGTAATTAATAATATTAAGGTAATTTGGAAAAGTATCAGTCAATAAATCCTTAGGAAAGTGTAGAATTAGGTAAAGAATGAAAATACATTTGTTCTCTTAATAGTTTATTTTGTTTTGATGGAAATAAAGGTTAAAATATTTATAACATAACATAATAATAATAATAAACGTTGTGAAGTAAATGAACATTATTTGAAAATCTATTGAATTTGCAAGCAATGAAACATCAATTTGGGAAAAAAAAAGTGGGCAAAGCTAATGGAATTGAATTCGAATGTGAACAGGGAAGATTGTGATGTAATTGAATTGTACCTGGGAGTGGGATCGATAGGAATGAGCGTATTATGGGGTGTTCGAACTAACTATTAATGTTTTTCCCTGTTAGTGAGCATCGAAGGGTGATTTCAGATCAAAGACATAAATTGGCCCGGCGGTCAAGAGGCTCACTTCCTGTACTCTATGTGGACATCCGGCGGCATTTCTGAACCGAACTCGCAACCTCCTACCGTCTCTCTCTCTCGTCCTTCCAACATATCCATTCGTCCATCCTGCTCACTATGTACGTTTTGCGTACATCCGGCGCAGAGCAGACAAACGACAAATCAAAGGCAACAATATGGAATATATCCAATAATGTTATTTATTAAGAAACGTACATCTCCACAATACGCACAGTAATCGTACAATAGTGATAAAAGTATTTGTATTATAATTATCTCCTCTCAAAAATTTGGCAATCATACAAATATGTACTATATTAAACAACAATAAATATGAATCCAGAAACAAGTATGACGATGATGAGATTGAACAACATTTCAAATAAAGACATGCGATAAATTTTCTTAATATATTATATATATATAATTTTGTGTTTTCCTTTTTTTTTTGTCAATAAATAATTTACACATTAATATAACATCTTCTATAGAATATAAACCACGCTAAATATTTTCAATTTTTAATAAGCATCTAATATATTTTTATATATATATATATATAATTTTTTTTTTAAATATAAATTTCAAACGTCTTTAAAATATATTTACATACGCTATATGATACGTATAGTTTTATTCAATATTTTTTTTTTTCTGCTAATGAAGTAAATTATTGTTTTGGAAGAATTTATTACATAATTATGATGATGATAATGATGATGATGGAAATGTGGCGTTATGTGTTTATAAGGTACAGTGGTGGATAAATATTTGCGCAATTTATTTCAATTGCGAGAAGTCTGTATATGATCATTATAATTTCGTTATTTGGGTTTACTTTTATAATTGTTCCCGAAGTATTTAACGTTAAATTGCATGCAGCGAGTTACATCGTCCGATCGATGCTCGCTGTTATTTACAAAACTACCTTGTTCATCAAGCGACAGTATTGCTGATATTTGGCTTCTTTCTATTTATTTATTTGTTTGTTTGTTATTTGTAAACTTATGAAAAAATGAGAAATGTATCATCAGCGCATAATTTCGTTCAACTACATAGTACATATTGCGATAAACGATATAATATTATTATATAATATATAATCAACTTTGAGCATTGTTTACAGAATCTTTGCATATAACTAAAAGGATAATAGATACCTTTCATATTACACACGCATATTACATTTTATGTTTATAACATTCTTTTTTAAAAAGATATGGCAGTGTTATTGCAATGCGATTCCCAGGGCCAGCCTAAGATCTTACCTATTCGTTACATTTAACTTTTATTTATTTATTTGTTTTTATTAATATTATTATTATTAATAATATTTGTAATGTAGATATAATTAAAGTTGTTTTGTTGAAACTAATAAATATCACATACACAATACGATTAATTAAGTCTAGAGTTCGGTTGTATACTGAAGCTTGCGCATCTGAATGCCCTCCATCCTACGCTTCTACATCACTGAAATTCACTTTAGTCGGCGTTCTTTGTAGGGCTGTATGCTGTGCTGTATCGATGATGGGCTCAGAGGACGCGGCTATTGAAAGAGTCAACGGTTTCATCTTCAAAGGATGCCCATTTAATTTAAGGTCGGCGCGGGCCATAGATGTCGAAGAATCCTTGAAATCGCGACTGGAACTCGGGCTCACAGCAGGCTTGTGGCTGCTCTCCCTATTTAACTTACTTTTGCTAGTGACCTGATCACGCAATGCCATTTGATAAGCCAGCTCGAACGCCTGTCCCAATGTTAGGATGATGTCCGTCGCCTGCTCCTAAACAATATCATGTAATGCAAACTATTAACAATAAATTAATTATATAAAAAGAACATAATTAATAACATTTTCTAAAGCTGCCAATGTTTTATATTCATACATAATTAGTCCTAACCAAATAGAAATAAAAAGCAATTAATTATTAAAGTTTTTATATAACAAAATTGCAAAATAAATGTTGAAATAACATAAATTAATAAAATTACAATTGAATAAAAGTACTTCTTTTGCGCGACTTACTGCGGTGTCTGTGGAGAAGACGTGGCAATAATAATCGGTTTGATCTTTAGTGATGTATGCAAAGTAGGAACGCGCCTCAGGATCTTGGCACGCACAATTGATATTCCTGATCTCGTGTTCGCAGATGCAACACTAAAATTTAATAAAAAAAAAACAACACACGTCGAACGTGCATTCAATAAGGATGTAGTAAACCATAACACCGTCAGTCCTCGTCAATCTACTCACTTGCGTATCGGAATCGATGAACTTCAAACCCCTATAAGAGATAGTCAAGATTATTTCCTGTACGCTCTTCTCGTTCGACTTGCGTATCTTGGCGATCGATTTCTTCGTCGACTCGTTCCCCTTAAATTCCTTAATCACAGTGGAACCCAGATACTGGAGAAAAATAATAATAATAATAATAGAAATAACAGAAAATATAGTTTTTTGTATTATTATTTTCATGATGATGAATGTGGGGTAGCGATTGTTAAGAAAATGGAAAGCACGTACGTTGACTGTATACTTGACGACTCCGGTGATTAATAAAATGGGTTGGTGTCTCCACTGCGCTTTTATGGAGTTGCTTCCACCTACGAAGATCTCTGATTGAGCACTCTTTTCCTCCGTTGGTTCATTCTTCGGCTGAGCGGAAACCGGAGGCGGCGGAGCTGGCCGGGATTTCTTGTGACGATGTCGAATCGTCCCCGTTCCCGTACCAATAACAACCCCTGTTCCCTGACCGGCGGTGTTAGCAGATGTCGTGTCGGCGTTCACGGATGGCGATCGCATTTCAGATTTGAATTGTTGAATGTTAGTTTTCTATAAATATTTACAAAAAAAAAACAACAACCTAGAGAGACAAACAGTGTAGGAGAATGAGAGGAAAAAAATCGGGGGTTCGAGGGTAATTAAAAAGTTTGATGATAGCACCGGGTTATTGTAGAAGGTGTATATACATGTGTGTACTAGTACTAGTGTGTGTATGTGGATGCGCAGGGATAGATGTAGATGCGATGGGCATGTAACCCAGAGGCTCAGCGATGCGAGAATTATGTGCATAATACGGTGCTGTGAACAGGCGCCATAGTGCGATTGGGATGTCAATTCCAGCGTAAATTGTGTAGTAATTTGCATGTATTTCACCGCACGTCGGCTACAGGGGTGGCGGTGGAGGTGAAGGAGGGAGCAGAGAGCGAGACAGAAGTGAAAAACGCCGGTATCTTATTTATAACATCCCATAGCGTCAAGTTGCCGCACTTATAGCATGCACTAACTACACTGACTGGACGGACGCGACTCCTGATACTTCATCTGCAGATCCACACTAATTGATACGGCTCGAACCATTGGATGAGAAAATGCCTGCATGTAAATCAATGCGCAATCTAACAGATTTGATTACCAAATTACATACACTAGAACACAGGCTGTCTCGTTAGTAATTGCGGTCTTGGCATCAAACTACACATTCGAGATGCTGAGGTCAAATCAAAAACTACAATTACCATACGAAAATTCTATATCCCAGATATATTAATGAGACAACTCAAAGATAGAAACATATAATAAGTGCCTAAACAATGGTGTAAAAACGTGAAACTCAAAAGTTGTCGGGAAATTTTAAAACATTTTTCTTTTTTTGAAAAATATCTACTTGATTTATGCACGAATTAGATAATTATATATTTTACTATGAACGACGATATTTTATTGTTTTCATCTACTGAGTGCTGATGTTTGGCAAATATGGATTTTTTGTTTCTATTCTAAAGTAAATTTCAGTTCAAAACGTAATTTCGTATTTCATGAGCAAATGCGTTAAGAATAATTGAAATCTTTAATCAATAGTTAATAATTAACAAACATTTTTATAAATTTCCGGGAAATTATTTTGAAATATCAGGGAAATGCTATATCTTTTAATTTTAAAAACTTAATTTCTTAGTTTTCATGATGATCAATTTAAATAAATTTGTGTGCAACTAAAAGATTTTAAAAACGAAACGTATTTCAAAAAATTACACGATGGTATAGATAATATATTCTAGTAGCAACTTCTACATGCTTTTGACGAAGCAAAATTATTTATGTTACAGGCAGGGTAGGGAAAAGTAGCCCGATGGGAAATATGCACGAAATCGGATCATCACAGATCCTGGTGTAAATTATTCGCTGCTCACGGGCGTATAAAATCGGACACATTTACAAATTACTTAATCCGTTTAAAAAAAAATAACCATGCTTATACAATATGTACATTTTCAAATAGAAAATCTAATCATTTTAGATATAAATTTAAAAATAACTAACCTGAACGTTCGTATCGGAATTGATATCTTCGAGTTTGGGTCCCGTAGAAATGTGCTCTCCGCTGCTGACGCTCATTAAAATCCTCTTCCTATGACCAACCTTCTCTATATCCAATACCGCCGACAATTCAACATCCCAGATCCTTTTGACGCGTTCCATGTCGAGGTATAAATGCTTAGCGAACGTCTCGGAATATTGCTCCAAGTGTATCCTCTTCAACCATCCATCCACCGTTTCCTTACTCTCATTAATATTGTTATTGCACGATCCCCGCTCATTGATCTTCACCGGCAATTGCTTACAACCGTCCAATATGATTCGTCGTTCCAACTCGCTCGATATCCCCATGTCTTTCAAATCGTTGTCATCGAGTACTTCGTTCTGTAATTGCGTTCATAATAACTGTTCAAACCCCCCCACAGAAACACACAGAGCTTACCAAAAAATTAACATCATCGAACCCATTAATTGCGAAGAGACCACCGTAATCCATCATCTCCAAACTTTGCAACCAAGACTCTATGGTCATCGGACTCTCATTCAGACTACTGCGCGAACAGTTCAGACTCATTAGTCTGTTTTGGAATTCCTTCTCGAGCTCCGCAACAAACACCGATTCGCGCACAATACCCGACCCAAACGATGCCATAATTTCTTGTATCTTCGCCCACTCCTCCTGCTCATCAAATGGACTTAAAGTAGCGACCTTATTTTCCTTATTCTCCAACTCCTTGTCCGAACCGGACGAGTTGCTACCAGACTTTTCGCTGCTCTTGATACTTTCGCTGCCGTTGTCGTAAACGCGTTTAAGTTTCTTCAAAGTCTTCGGGCGCTCTAGCAACTGCTTATTCGAATTGATGTTCTCCAATACTTTGGTCGAGCCTTTAATTAAACCTGTTTGCGTATACAGAAATATATATGTATATATATATATATATTATGCAGCGTTTAATTCATTACCAGTATTAATTAATTACATTTTCAACTATGATTGCATTTAAAGAATAAACAAAATTTGTTTGCGGTGCGCTAATGAAACTACACACAGAATGTAATTAAAATAGAAATTAATTAACTCTCACATTTATAATATATGATCGGAATTTAACTGCGTGCGTTTCAATGTATGTGCGCGTTTACTTTTATTGGACGGATTTTGAAATCATATTCAGTTTCATAAATAGAACAAAGAGATTTGAAGTGGGTATATGATGTGTGCGTCTGTACAACGAGTGTGTGTGTGTGTATGTGTTGCAGAGAAGGAGAAAGAACAAATGAATAATAGAGAGGGAGCGAGAACACAGGGGATGCTGCCAGAGTATGAGAAAGAGTGAGGGAGACAAAAAAATTATAAAGCGAATTCTAATTTTAATCAAGGGAGAGTCTACGGAGCGAGAAAAACCAACAGAAAAAGTAAACAAGAATGAAACAACGAGATGTAATAACATGCAAAACAAACTCTGGCTTACTGATTAATTTTACTTTAGACGATGCCAGCCAGTTTCATTCCACATAATACGGAAAATAACGTAAATTCCTTTCGTGTATCGCACATATGTTGAATTAATTGCTTTTATACTAATTCACTCACATTCATCCATCATTCTCAGTCTACCTCATTTATTAATGACTTAAATATGTTTTTGAAATTTCCGTAGTCTCATCTATAATACGTACAAATTATACTCATTTTAACAGAAAGAGCACTAAGTTAATTGACTATTTCGTTTTTTTTTTTAATTAAAAGTTATTATTTAAAAGAAAAATATAAATATTAAAAATTACTATAACTTTCAATATAAAATTTGTTTATTATTTAAACTTTGATGCAGTGATGATAGCAAAGAAGATTGTTTTTATATATTATTGTATACAATTACCTGCGAATGGGGCATCCGAGTGATATTCCTCGACAACGTTATCGACGCTTTTATCCGAGAGTGAAACACTGCTGGAAAAGCTGCCGCTTGATTCGTCGCACATTAATAAATATTCATCCTCCGTTTCCGTCTCCATATCCTTTGATCTTCTTTTGTACTCCTGGGCAATTTTATATTAAACCATATTTACGCCAAAGCAAATAACGCTCGTGCAAATCATAGCAACAACAACAAAAAGAACGGAAAAGGAACGAGGGCATCATCATCATCATCATATTCAGAGTGAAACGACGACGAAATAAATAGAACCTGACTTTACAAGAATTAAATCAAAAGAAAACTACAGGTCGTATATAATAAAATTATATTAAATAATAATAATAGTAATATAAATTATATTTGTATATATATATATTTAAGAAATAAAATAATAAACAAAAACAACATAAATTGTAAAAGAAAACTGAGACTGCCAAAAAAGAAAACGGTGCTTTTCCATGCAAATTTTCTCTACAAACTTACCTGACTTAAAGGTCTAATACTTTCATGTATAAATGCTTCTGCTTGTAACGCCGATGGCGGCGGATGGTCTGGAGTTGGGGGCTGCTGATAATGCGTCGGACTTAACGGAGTACTATTGGTGATTACCATTTTCTTAATGGTTCTATCTTTTTCATCGTCATCCGAATAACTATCCCTGATCATAATGTACGCGTTTGAGATGAACGTGTTTTCGGGAATGGAAGAGCCCGCCGTCTTGATGTCTCCTAGACGCCTTGGAAGTTCATATTCCTCGTAAACATTCTGGTTGTGCTTATCGAAGCCTGGATGCCTCCTCAATTTCCTGCGCGGATTCTGCTGCTTGATGAGCATGTTCTCATAAACAGATGTTATTGCAACTGGTTCTTTTGACCGGCTCGCGTCGAGATCCTCGCTCTTCCCTCTGTGCAATTCTTTCGACGATGGTTTCTCTTCATCATCTAAATTGATATTGAACACGCTGTTCATTTCTACGTACTGATCGACGCTTCGTCCATGCACCATTCGTTCCCTGCGAGTCTCCTGCTCGAGATCATTGATATTGTTTTGGCTTCGAGTACCGGAATGGGATAAGTATAAATATTCGTATGCATTGTTGCTGTAGCATTCTGCGGAAGATGACATGGTTTGCAGGTGCGTCGGAGAGACGGACAGATTTCGTCTCGGTGGCTTTTTTGGCGGCGTTGGCTATAACATTATTATTATTATTATTATTATATATATATGTAAGACGAACGCATCGAGGGAGGATTTGTTTTTCCCACTTTTATTTATTTACCGAGACTTTAGTGTTGGAGCTGCTGGGACTGTGTCCCCCTCGTGCATTATTCATGGGCATGTAGAGTGGCGGAGCGCCAATACTGTCCGATCGCCTCGGATAGCCAGTGCTCGAGGTGGTAGACGACAGACTTAGACAGTCCACGTCTCCGCGATTGTACAAATATATATCATCCGAATGGACGCTAGAGTCCATGAATGCCTTCGGAGCACAATGTATTTGATATAAGCTATTATCCGATTCCCTAGAACAATGAACATAGCTCGATACAACGGAGCTGAGCCGATCGGTACTTTTCTCTAATTGTAATTGCTCACTAAATGAAAACGCGATGCTATCCAATGCCGGCGTTGAAGCGTTTAGCTCATGCAATGAGTGCATTTTGATTGATTTCCGCGTCCTTCGTTTCGGAGGCAAACTTCTGTACAGAAATTCGCGTAGCCTAAAACATGCAGTTATTTTGTGTTTTCTTTCGCAAAGCCGTGCACATGGAGCCAATAACAACAACAACAACAAAAAACCCTCAAGAGATTTTGTTATGAAAATCGTAAAAATAGATGAAAACTGAAGGGCTAAACTACTACTGCTACTTCGCTTCCCATTACGTGCACTAGTTGTACTACTTAAAGGTTCTTACATTGATGTGGCCGACGTTCCGGATATTCTGCGATCTTCGACGCAGTCAACGGATCTAGCTTGTCTGTGGAAATCCCATCGGTGTGGAGATGAGCCTGGCGACGGATCCGTGGTTACGGATCGACCTAGTAAGATTTGACACAGATGTGAGAAAAACGCAAACGTATTTAACACCAAGAAATACCCCTTGAGCACGGCCGAACGTTTTCATATGGACTTCCCAAATCCGAATCCATATTGGGGATCGACGGGAACGGCTGTGTAAAACTTTCACCATCCGAGTCCACGTAATGTCGCATTTTCTTATATCCTAAAAATTAATCCGCATAAAAATATAAAATGAAAATATAAATAAAAATAATGACTGAGCTGTTAAGAATATGAAGCGGTGTTCCTATTAATTTGTGATATGTAATTAGTGTTTGATGTTGAACAAGGCTTACGTTTCAAAAGTGCCATGATCTCTTGCGTCGCCTGCGCTGGAAATTGGCTCAGCAGATCCTTAACAGTGTAATTGTGAGCGTCTTTTATGTGCAGATCGACACCGTATTCCAGCAGCGTCTTAACTACTTCAAATTTCCCGCAAAGTGCGGCCTCGTGGAGTGCCGTTCCCGCCGGTGTCAAAATGTTAACGTCTAAACCTGAACGTAAAAGGACTTCGACGACTACCCTGTAAATAAATCACACAACCAAATTCAATTTTGGTCTTTTATCCCACTAAAGTAGAATTACTTAGCTTTAAAAGCTTTTCAAATATAAATTTAAATGTATCCTTAATTACAACTAACTAACTAACTACTACCATTCGTCAAGATTATCATGGCATTATAAATTTTGAATATAATCAGAATTAAATTCTTAGTGTATATTTATGCGACCGCACGAATATTGACTAGGATTGCAATGCGTGTGCATAGGTGTGTACATAATAAACAATCTGTTGCATAGAAACCAATCCTCGTGGTACACTACCTACTACTGCCCGCTCTTGCATCAGAATTAACGCTGTGGTGCGAATATACTCTCGATAATTCACCGAGCACGATGCTATAAGGGCGTTATCCATAACTGGTGTAATTAATTAATGGCCATCGGTCTGTTAATTAATTTGCACGTTAGACGAAACCGTTATAAATATATGTCAACGCTTTTAAATCTGGTATACACATTCGATAGATACATACGAATTTTATTAAAGTAATAAAAATGAAAATGTGGATAATAAAACTAGAATTAAACTTTTATAATAACATTTTTCAGTAATTTTAATTAGAATTAAATATTAGTAATGTGTTACTTACTTGTGACCATTTCTGCTTGCTAAATGCAATGGAGTGTGCGGAAACTTTGTGCCCGGAATGAACCTTTGCATCTGTTGTATCAAGAAGGGGTGTCGTCGAACTAGCAATTCGACGGTCTCTAATCTAATAATATGTAAGTAACAGAAGCAAACAGTAGATAGATGGAATGGAGACGGTGCAATTATTCCAGATTTACCTTCCATATTGAGCAGCAAGATCCAAAGCATTCTCGCCTCGACTATTCCTAATAGCTGGGTCACATCCGTGCTCCAATAAGACCGCCACGACTGCCGTGTGGCCGTATTGAGCTGCACAATGAAGGGCAGTCTCGTCGTCCTTTGACTGCAAAAGAAAAGATCGGAACGTAGGAAATAAAGAAAGAATGAAAGGAAGCAGCAAGGAGTGCAGCTCCTCGCAAAAAGTTATAATTATGTAAGTTTGAAGAAACTCCTGAGTTTCGGATGTATATAAAATATATATATATACAATTTCCATTAAGAAAAACAAAACTGGATATAAGCTGGTTAAAAGCATAAACAGAGGGATAGGGAAAACGGAGTTGTGCAAAGTTTAGTTTTAAATTTTAAATAGGCAACTCGTCTGTCAGCAGCAGCTTTAGAGAATCCGTCAAGCCGAAGCTGCAAGTGGCACATTGCATCCGAATTAGGGCACGGTCCAGTGATGTTGGCGTGGAATTGAAAAGATCATGGCAAGTTTGCATTCGAAAAGAGTTTTCGGTGTGTACGCGCGCGTCCCGAGTCAGAGGGAGAAAAGGGCGAGAGGGATGATGAACAAAAAAAACAAACAGTGACAAACGACCGACGCGATGTGCCTTTTATGCGCCAACCAACCAACCACCCACCCTCCATCCAAAACCATACAAAATATCTACCTTTACGTAAAATAATAATAATAATAATTAACATGATATTTTTAGTATTATGTAATTTATTATTTTTATATAGAGAAGAGAGCGGGATTTTGTGGAGAAAATGAAAGGACTTTCTGGACGAGGCCTGTAAGTAATTGCTAGTTTAGATGATCAAGTTAATTTGTATACTTGATCGTTATCGTTATTGCCCAGAAAGAGGGATCGGAAAAGTGTGGTACGCGCCGTTTGTTCACTTTGATTTTTGGGGCTGTCCCCCACATGTATGACGGGGGGTTATTACTGCAAGTAATGGGAACGCACATTGTGCGCTAATTAAGATACTGAATGCCATTGACATGGTCGGTCTCGGTCAAAAGGTTGCTCAAGTGGCGAACCTGAAAGGGACATGCATCAAGCCTTGTCTATCTCTCTCTCTCATACACACACCGAGCATACCCATTCAAATTGGATCGCAAACGACTTTGATTTATTACCCGATAAACAGTCGTTGATCCATATCGCGCACACACATACAGAGAAGACGAATCTCTACTACTCTACTTACCTTTAAATTAACATCACAATAGGAATGACCGCTCAGCATCAACCTTACGATATCCACGTTGCCTGACCATGCGGCCAAGTGCAGAGGGCTCGAACCTTTCGAATCGACGATATTCGTCAGCGCATCGTGCTCTAATAATAATCGCACAATATCCCTACAAATTTATATTCGTATTGAAACAGTGACTGATTATTATTGACTGGTTTCTTTATATTGCTTACTTGTGACCATTCAGGGCTGCATGGTGAAGGGATGAGAATCCACTGCTATCCCTGACGTTGACGCCCGGTCCTCGACGTAAACTGTAACAAGTGACATAAACCACTTAGTTCAAGGAGTCGATCAATAAATACGGCAATAAAAGAAGATTATTACATTCTTCCCTAATCTATATTTTGACACATGACAAATAAAGAAGGGTTTTGTGAAACTTAGGGAAGAATACTTGAATTCTAAAGCCAATAATAACGAAAACGTCGCCTTTATTTGTACACTTATGTATTTATTCGTTCATATTGATGATATAAACGAAATACATTATAATGCAATGGAAACACAAATATAAATACAATAAATTGTACTTTTGATTTCTTAAATAAAATAAAATCAAAGAAGTGCCGATTAGTAATATTTAGTGACAACACTAGAGTCGTAATTTAAATTTGGAATTATGTAACCAACCAAACTTGGAATAGTTCTCAAATTACGTTAAGAAATTGATAATAATAATAAATAAAGTAATGGAAGAAACCATTCGACAGGTTGCTGCTCTTGCAATATTTGAGCAGTTCCAAACGAAACAACAACTGCTGAGCAGCTTCTCATTTGATATTCAAAGCAGTCACCGGGTAATTTCATCTTCTGAAAACATCACGAGTACATTTAGTGCTACCAAAAGAGATTTGCACGTAACGCTATTTTAAACAGTTTTTAGTATACTTTTAGCAATTTCCATAATACTAAAACAGCTTAAGAAATAATTAATATTTATTTCGTATTACTTACTACATGGAATATTGATGGATTTTCCAAATAAATAATTAAGAAATCTCCTAACAAATAGAAAAATTAATTTATTTAGACCAAGTTCGACAATATTTTAAAAACCATTACATACAAATGTGTAAATATTTTTAATTTGTATTAACAATTAAATATTCAGCAATAATTCGCATAGTGCGGGTAATCTGTTCCACCTATTTGAAACCGGACTAATCGAGGAATTAAGTACGTGCAAAAATAATATATTTAACATAATAAACAAGACTAATAATCAAGTTCGACAAAATGCTTACCGACAGATTGAAATGTATGTTATGCATTTACATGTACTAGACATTATTTTTTTTGTGTATAATTTATGAGACAAAGTATACCGAAAATAAAATGAAAAAGTATAAGCTACAGTGGCTGCTGGCATCCACAAAGTTATCGATGTTTATAAATACATGCATTAGTATCTCATCTGATCGTATGAGAGTTAATCAGTTCATCCTAAAGGTTAAATGAGACATAAGTGTTAGGGCAGGCAGGGTGTGGTGTGGTGTGGTGAACAGGAAGCATTGCCGCTTCATGTTGGTAGGGTTGCATGCAGAGTGAACTTGTATCGATCGATGAGGAATACATTTTCCCTTTTATAAAATCACCGTACATATGATGGCATTATATGCACTCGTGGCGTGAAGCAATTTAATATGCACATTACCCAACATACACAAACAACAATAAAAGTATAACACGGAAAAGAGTGTCATATGAACAACAACAACAACGACGACAAAAAAAAACCACATACATTCATTCGTTTGATTGTCATAACACTATTGTGTCATTGTTTATTCGTAATCATTTTCATCGGAGCAGCTTTCATCTTCATTGGGGAAAAAAAATGCGGAGCATGCAACAAAAATTTGTGGACCATAGAAATAAATAATAATGAAATTTACATGCCAAATGCATATCAATATGTAACATGTGTTTGTGGCAAATAAAAAAAATGCCTAGTTAAACAATTACTAATAATTTACACATTTGCAATTTAATGCAATAATGCAATATTTTTCTTTTTTAGAAACTGCATAAAAATAAACTTTGTTAATTTATACTAAATTAATTTGTAAAATTAGTTATTATTCATTTTGTTTATTCATCTGTAAGATAAGATAATCCATCAATAATAAAGTTATAAATGCAAGGAAAATGTGACTTTTTTTTAGAACAAAAATAATATAACAAATACTTCATATTCGGAGGAGATTGAGGAGGAACAATTGAGTTAAAATACAATTGCTATACTATTTATATATGAAACTACACTCATTTACTGTGACACTTTAATGAAATATGTTCTGATTTATTGAAAATGGATCGATTGAAACCTACATTTCGTTCCTATTGTATAGTTGCCAAGTAAGTAAAACACAGAGCCAATAGCCATGATGATTTACAAAAAGTACAACTAACAATTAGAGAATTCTAGTATTCTATTATGAAATTCACCATTAATGAATGCAATAAAAAATCTATAATAATATTTATGAAAGTCAGTGTTCTTATATGAAATATAATAAATGAATGTAAAATATTAGTAAACTACAGATTATAAGTGAAATTATAATGAAATGAACAAATAACAAAAAAATGTACATTTGCATATTAATTTAAACATAATTTAAGAATAAATTATACTAAAATGTTAGTATTAAGATGAGCATATCACAATTTCACTAATAAGTCAAAAATAGACTCAATAATTGAGAAATTTGATTAACATTAATTTCTTAATAAAAAACGATAATTACGATTTATTTATACTTTATATGAGTTTATATTTGATAATAGAGCGAAAATACATACGGTCAATATCATATTGCAATGATTCATGCATTTTCATAGTAACAATTAATTGTGATAATTAATTTATTTAGTATTTAACAGTAAAATAAGAACAGTTGTAATAAGAACTTATAAAAAAATGTGTATTTTGTTCATTAAATGAAATAATAGGAAAATAAAATGTCATAAAGTTGAAAGGCACATTGAAACGTGCAAATCGGTACAAAAATAATAATAATAAAAATACGAAACAAAACCAAACGAGCAACATTCAATAATAAAATAGCGCATGGTGAATATGTGCACATAACATGTGAGAATAAAACTGTGAACAAAATCACAATAAATAAAAACGATTAAATTATTTAAAACAAATACATTCCGAGTGGCGGTTGATTTATTGATTTCATTTGTTTTTAACCAATTTATTTACATAATTTTATTGTTCGCAATATTTCACATCTACACGCTTTATTTTATTCATTTATTTTTATTTTATTTTGTTTTTTCATAGCAATCCATTTTAATTTTATTTTATTTTGCGAACGCGATTCGCCACAAAAATGTTTTATATTTATAAAATATAATTCCCATTGAATGCGTTGTAATAAAATAAAAATTGCGATGCAAAATATAATAATAGGGAACCGAGAGAGAGAGAAAAAAGAAAAAACAAAACATATTGGAAAAAATAATATATGTATACAATGCATGCGTTTTATTGATTTTGAATAATTTTCAATTGCTTCATTAAAAAAAGAATCTTTATGTATAAATTACCGAAACAAATTGTCAATTTCTTTAATAGTTTGTCTTACATATTGTTATTTTTATTTATTGAAATTTTCTTTTCAGATTTCATTTCAGTTCCCTTCTTTTTCCAAATCTGAAGAAATTAATACAACATTGAATGTTTGAGACTGAACTAATTGACGACTTTAAAAATGCAGAAAATGTGATCATTTATGTCTAAAAAAATATTTTTATTTTGATCAATTAAAATTTAGTTTATTTTGAAATTTTTAAACCGTGAATCCGCACTGATTGGTAATCGGTTATGTCAAAATACCGGATGTTTGAAACAAGACTAATCGAGGACTTGACTGTATAAAGAAGAAAAAAGAACACTAATTTATATATTAAAACATATTTTTTGTACTAATTAAAATTTAGTTTGTTTTGAAATTTTCAAATCTGACTATGAGAAGTACAGCTGTATTTATTTCTGGATATACATAAAATTGTCAATAATATTTATAGAACTTAAAATATGAATTAAAAACTTTAATTTAAAATACACGAATTATAACAATAAAAATAAATAATTATGGATATTTTATTATAAATTAAATGTTATTTTTTAATAAAAATATAATGTTAATTGAGCTAAAGCCCATCACGAAATTGTGTCAGACAATGCGTGGGTGTTGCACATTAATATTTTTCGTAGAAGGTGCGTAATAGCAGACCTTTTTAACGGTCAAAAATTCCTCGACGAGCAAGGCTAATTAGTTCATTTTAAGGTCCTTGTGGGAGAATTAAATATGAAACAGAATGACGTGTATCATAAGAGAGCAACGTGCTCACAGCCGCACGAGACATATTTTTAAATAAATTATCTTAAATAGATAATAAGTACATAAAATCTAGCTTAAACCCAAATTGATTATTAAAGATCTCTTGATTACTAAAGTAACATATTTATTATTCTATTTTACTGTAACTACAAGAATTTAAAAGTAGATTACTACAATTTAAGTGTATCAAACATGTTGCTATGCGAAGTTAGGAATTCGCAGAATATTTGTGGTTTGCTGACACGCGTGATATCATTTATGAGAATTGAAATTAGAGTACTTCGCGTTCGAATAATAACAACTGCTTTCAAGAAATTTCTCAAAATGCACAAACAAACTCAAATTTATCACATATGCTTCAAATTAAACAGTACAAAACATTATTCATATAACATTTAATTATCAAAGTTTTATTTTAAAAATTATTGATAAAATGTAGACGAAATTTCAGTAACATTATCTAATTAGCATTATCATTTGTGGTGAAGAAAATAAAATCATGATTTGTTATCAAAGTTAATGATGATTCAATACCACTTGTATGGTTACTATAAGAAACAATATCAGTAAAATGTAAAAATATCAAAAGGAAACAAATAGATAAACTCATTATATTATATGTAGCAACAAACTTGTTGATTTTAGGAACATAAATGAAAGGTAGAATTTTGTGGAAAATCGATATCTACGTTTCTATTAACAGACGGAATACTATAAAGAAGGGGAAGTATCAGTCAGTATCACTGGCTATTGGAATAAATGTCATCTATTTGTGAGTTTGGATGTGCAACAGATGATTTTTCTTTATATAATATATCCATTTATAGAAAACGAATAGATTTTGTTTTGTTATTTATGGTCGTGATTCATATACATTATTTATAATTGTACAGTTGTAATAATTCAGCAATAAAAAATATTATACATTATCATTAATATTTTGTGTAATTTATATGCACATTTACTGTGAATCAGTTGAAACAAGCATTTATAAATAAAGCTTGTTTACTAATTTTACTTATGTTATGTGTCATGGGTTTTGTTCGAAGAAAATGATTACATAAACAACAATAAATAACATTATTCAATGAAATATATAAATTGCGCAAAGTTGTTATAAACTAATGAGGATAAATTTGATTTAAATGAGATTTTAATATGAATTTAAGGTTGAAGAAGATCATCATTAAGTGTTGCAACTGAAGTCAAAGATCTCTAAAGCTTTATCATATTTGTGTAGCGCGTTTACAGATGTGCATCGATAAATATTTGTTAACAACGCGTATATCAACAGATAAAAAGTCGTTGCTTATTTGAAGAACTACAGAGTCAGAATGAAAATGCTACGAATGTAACACTGATGACTTAAACATG